CTATTTTCTTGGAACTTTTCTTGGAACTGAAGAGCTTCGGTCCCGAACTTCTCTCCTCGATCCCGAACACACAAAGACGAGAATTGCAATTTGTTTGTCCGCAACCAACCAACAGGACATGATGAACGCTTGGGTTCTATCAACACCTTTGATAGGACAGATTACAAACGTTCCAGCCTCATCGGGGGTCGGTGTTTAACAGCTACGAGGCCGTTCCTTTCAGGACCGAATTCAGTGTCATGATCTGATTGCGCCCTGAACCCTGTCGGTAATTGACCCTCATTTGCTGCCGACTCGTCGAGTCAGTGGTGATGTATGATGGATAGAATGCACTGAATGATGTGGAAGGATGCCGACTTTTTATCAATTTTCTCCTTCGTCGCCACTCTGCCTATCAAAGAGATTGTCTCGCCGCATTTAGACAGACTACCCTGCACTATACTCGCGTCACAGAGCATCCCCGGATCCCATGATCCCATGACTCTATCTTTATCTGCTCAATTAAGGGTCACTGTATCTGTAACATTAGACGGCCTACTTCACCTCTGAGTCGCTGCGTCAAATGGGTGATGAATCCTACCAGTTCAAGCGAACCTACCACACCCAACCCATCCACCATCAATACATACCTATACCCTCCTGGACCGACACGCCTCTTTGTTCGTTAGTCGTACTGTAGCAGAATACGCACACATCTTTCCCTTTTGATTTGACCTGCATACTTCCCCTCTCGCATCTGAGTCCGGATGGCTTGATGGGACGGTCTCATCCGCCCTGCTCCCCTACTCCCCCGTCTCCCACCCCATCCACCTGTCAATTTCTAAAGCGACACAACAGCCAGAGGCTCCTGCACGAGCCCGCTCACAAGACTAGAGCCGTCCATCTTTTTCTGTTGCCGTGCGCTTCTCGGTCCCGAAATTCCCGCATCAACACCTTTGTTCTCGTCCCAGCTTGCCAATCAACGCCGCGCCCGGCCTCAAAGCTTCTCGTCTCATGTAGAACAGAGTCACCTCCGTTACCTAGTTGAGCTTTATCAATCGCTAGCACGTCGGTAAGCGCCTGCAAGCCAGCCGCTAGCGGTGTACGAACCCGTCGCCCTTCGGGACCGACTCAAATAAACCTCACCATGCCACCGACCCCAGAGTCCCAGATTGGCGAGGGCTCGGTCAACAATGACACCACGCCGCCCGCCGCGTCCTCGCTTAGCGGCGCACCCTCCAATCCAGACGCTTCCATGGTGAAAGTCACAAGAGGTCATAGCTGTGTCTTATGCCAACAACGCAAGGTCCGATGCGATAAAAGCAAACCCTGCTCCAATTGCGTAAAGGCCGGAGTTGAGTGCCGCGTTGTGCCACCTCAGCCGCCCAGGCGGCGCAAGAAGCGCATTCCCGAGCGAGACCTGGTTGAGCGATTACGGAAGTATGAAGCACTCTTGTCGCAGAATGGTATCGAATTTGATTCGCTAGGCCCCGATGTCAAGATTGTGGATCCCGGATCCGTTGAAGACGGTGACGAACTCGAACCCGAGTTCATAAGGCAGAGAAGTAAGGAGTCTCCAGCCGGAGTGGACCCTGATTTGATCTCATCTCCGGGCGAGACTGCGCATGTCCCCAGGTAAGCACCATCCTGTTCGAAGCCGGAACGCCTCATCCGATAACGGGACTGACATCGTACCCTCGCTAGGACTTTCAAGTGGTTTCCTTTTCAGAAGGAGGCTAGTAACTACTTATTCCCCTCTAGATCCACCACTACTAACATCTACGTAGTTTCGGGCAGTCGATGACACTCTTAAAGACTCGTCTGATGAGGAGGACGTTGGCTCATCGATTAACCAAGCATACGACAAAATGTTTGAAACCGCTGACGGCTTCCCTTTTGTGATCGGTGGCCAATTCGAGAGTGTCACCGATCAGCACCCGAGCGCCATCCAAATATTCCAGTTATGGCAAATCTATCTAAACAATGTCAATCCTCTTCTCAAGTTAACACATACACCAACCCTGCAAGTGCGGATCATAGAGGCTGGAGCGAACCTCGACAAGGTTTCTCGGTCGCTGGAGGCCCTGATGTTTTCAATTTACCTGATGGCTGTCACGAGTCTAGACGAAGGAGAATGCCAAGAGACCTTCAACGAGTCGAGAACCACATTGCTAGCCAAGTATTATTATGCAGCACAGCAGGCCCTTTTAAACGCAGGTTTCATGCGTAATCCAGACCTGACCTTGCTGCAAGCTTATCTGTTATACCTTGTAAGATGAATTCTGAATTACCCACATGAGGTCTGCTCTGACGTATATTAGATGGGTATCCGACAATATTCAGATCCCCGGTCGCTGTTTTGCTTGACGGGGATAGGCGTACGCCTTGCCCAACGAATAGGCTTACACCGTGACGGGGCTCAATTCAACCTCTCCCCGTTCGAGGTGGAAGAGAGAAGACGGTTGTGGTGGACCCTCGCAGGGTTCGATCGGCGAATCGGAGAGCTTTGCGGTTCTATCATCACTGCCATATCCAATGGAGGGAACTGCAAGTTGCCGCTTAACATCAACGATGCAGACTTACATCTGCATGCAAAAGATCCACCGCCACCGCATCATGGTGCGACTGAGATGATGTTCTCTCTCGCGCGTCTCGAATTTGCCAAAGCGCCTGGAAACGACAAGATGAGAGGGCAATCATCGGAATCCAACCCACAAGCAGTCGCGAGTGTTGCTGACCACCGATTATCGAGCTATCTCGAACGATTTTCCGCTTATATGGAAGACACATATCTCAAATATTGCGATCCAAAGGTTCCCCTGCATTATATGACCCTTCTCATGACCAGGGCAAACATTTGCAAACTGAAGATAGTTTCCGGTTTCTTCCGTGTTGCACTTACTGCACCTGCCCCCTTACCGGTAGCCGAGAGAGAAGAAATTTTCATTGAAGCAATCAAGATGATTGAATATGACAGCATGATCCAGGCACGTGAAAACCTGAAAGGCTTTCTCTGGTATACACACATGCATTTTCCATTCCCAGCTTACATTTGCCTCCTGACGGAGCTCCGCCATCGCACAACCGGAGACTTGTGCGAGCGGGCTTGGGAAACAATTTGCGAACATGCTGACCGGAGGAAGATGACGACCCACGTGCGTAGTCCGATGCATCTCTCCTTCAGCCCGCTCTTCGTAAAAGCTTGGGACGCACGCGAAGCAGCTGAAGCCGCCCTCGGACGCACCCTAGCGCCTCCCCGCCTCATTACTCACATGAAGCAAATCGCAGCGCGATTACCAAAGACTACTAGAAAGAGGACGCCAGTCCCAACACCGTCGCCCAAGATTCCTGTTATAAGTGGTGCCTATGTTGCATCGTCCCAGACGCCACCTGAATCACAGCAAAGCGTACCCTCTACGGTGCCTCTGTATCCAGAGAGCGACTTGTTTGCCGGCGGCATGCCTCAGATCGACATGAACAGGCAATTCGCCGCCGCATTCCCCGATGTCAACTTCGGCGGCGAGATGGATTGGAATTACCTAATGCAGGAATACGGCGGGTTCATGGGAGTCGCCCAGCCACCGCAAATGAGCGCCTACGCGAACCAGACGCCGCTACAAGACCCCAGCCAAGCTGCCGCCTGGCAGTAACTTTTTGATATTTCTTTGCGTTACATATACCATATACCATATACCACACATACATATGAATGAGGATATACGGACGACAGTATAGGTTACTATGGAAGTTATTAGGTACAAGGCACATACCCGACTATTTCAACGTGTACATATAGGAAAAGATCAAATGTTTCAAGGGTTTGTTCATATGGACGGGTATATATTACATAGGTACGTTATGTCCGACATAGGGCTTAGGGTGGAAGTATATATACTGAAAAATAAGAAAATCATTCACTGTCTCGTGTAGGGCCTAACCTAGTATGAGACAGACTCGATGTGGAATGAATGAGCAATGCTGTACGTGTAGGCTTCAAGTCACTGATTTCAAGAATTATAAGTCCAGAGACGTGAAGTTATTACATTGATGACGCTACTAAAAGAGTCTACCTACTTTAGGTATTTGAGGTAAGATGCGATTAGTGATGCTGTGGTGTGTAGTGGAGTTCATAAGGTGTATGTGTGTGTTGTAAGCCAGTGTAGCCCCCGAGTGAAATACCTTAAGACTGTGACGTACAATTTATGTACAGGTATAGCAATTTATGCCATTATATCCCACGTTTCCTTCCTTCCATGTATACCTAAAGCCTCCTTTTTATCTACCTTGTCCCGTTATACCTTGTCCCGTTATACCTTGTCCGTTAAACCCCTTGCTATGCAGTAGCCAAGTAGCCACCTTCCAGATATAGAATGGCCCGTGCGCCACACATTCAGATGGTGTGACAAGCCCCTATATTCTCCAACGCCTCCAGAGACCACACTTTTCCCAGTTACCTGGGATAAGAGTAGGTGGGCCACCCCCATATACGTTAAGTGATAAGACGATATGTGCGAATTCCAGGTTGAGATTCAACGCGATTCGTATAAATGCGTTGGGAGAGGATGATGAATGATTGGTATGGTATGCGAGAAGCCGAGTCTACAACCCTCAAAGTCACTGCTTCCCTTCAGTAGTTTGGTGAAGCAATTCCATTGGTTGGGTCGTTTTCATGACATCGCGAAGTTTTGGTGAGGTCAAGTTCCTCGACTTTATTATCGCATTTCTGTGTGGCTGGTTCTCTCTTCCTTTCTCTTCCTGGTCCTACACATTTCGTCCTATTTCGTCTTTTTTTCGTTTTACTCTTACATCCTCTCAACGTATCAATCAGGTGTGTATGACGGGCACCCATGGCGCATACAACGCGGCCTAGAGTACCCCTAGCAGAGTTAGCAGAGTGAAATGCTAGGTTGTCATGGATGTAAGAGCTGCCAACTAGGAAAAAATCCTCGTTATCGCGACGGTGTTATATACTAGGTATATATATTTGCCGGACCAAATAAAAACCTGTTGGACTTTCTTGGTTACCACAGCGGGACTCGAACCCACTTGCATTTCCATCGCGAAAAATGCACCGCCAGGCGCTTAACCACTGCGCCATGTGGGAAGCGATGATGTCTTGTGAGGGAGGGTGAGGAAATGGGGTCTCGTGAGGGTAGGCACTGGTAGTCCTCCGAGCGGCGTGAATTTCTGCCGTAAGGTGGTTGCCTTCCCGTAACCCCAATCTTGCTATCAGCAAAGGAGAAACAGGCTTTGGGTTCCTGGTATGCTATCCTCTCCAATGCTGTGGGCATGACAATGTCGGTCTCTTTCAACTGAAACCAGCCAAGCTCCAAGGTCGACAAGTCACATCGACAAGCAGATATTACTCCACCTAACAAGCACGTAGACTTCGAACTCCTGGTTATCCTTTCCTGGACTCCGCCGCCCTAGGAGCTTTCCACTGTACATTAAATCACGTTGCTACGCAATATGCAGTGTCGTCGACACGCTTGACTGACAAGCAAGAGGTGAAGTCGCTGCGCAGAAGAGCCATTGGCAGCCACGTAGACGCTGGGGTTCTGCATGGTGCGAGCTTGTAACAGGGATTATCTCCTAGAGCGACTTCGCCGTACCGGGATATGAGATCAAAGGACTCCGGTTGCTAGGTGAAGTAGCAGAGCTGCTATCTCAATGACATGCCGACGTTAGAGACAGTGGTGTAGTCTTAGAGGAGGACATGTTAGTCGATTGAGACATTTAGGCCTTTTAAGATAAAGGTCTTACCAGTCTTGATCGGGTCTGCCCATGGTTTTTTTCTAATGCAGATGGGTGGTGACATCCGGGATATATATAGACAATCGTCGTCAAAGGCTTTGTTGCGAGTCTAGTGCAATTGTTCATGTCATGCAAGACCTTGTTCTAATAGAGATCCTTGTGTTAGAGAAAGGACAAAGAATTCTGTTATGGTCTTTGAGACCGATTGAACGAGTAATGATTGTTAAGGTGACATTGGACTGGATTGTCATGTTAACTAACCTATTGTTTTCGAGGAGAAAGGAATCCAAGTCGTGAATGGGGAGCTATTGTGCTGAATGAATGGCGATTAGCATGGATCTTGCGAAAACTTGGAGGAAGTAAAAAGGATAAGTGTTGATCAAAGAGGATTGAATAGAGGCGACAATGAGATAGATGTGCGCGTAGACGGCTTACCTTTTGGTGATCCGTGTTCGCTGGTGCGACACGCGTCATTAATTGTGGTCACAGATGATTAGGATGGTGATGGTCAATATGATGATGGTAATTGATGTCAAGTGTGACCACGACTGGTGGCAACAATGGCATATTTACCGGCAACTGAGAGACCAAATGGAATTCGTAGTCAGGGTGGCGAAGGATGACGATGATGAAAGGCCCTCTAGTCTGTATAGACAGGGTGATGGTGGCGGTCATTGCTAAGATGTCGACGACTGTGATCAGGTTGTTTATGTTTTCGACTGAATGGAAGACGCGTAGAAGAGATTCAGAAAGACGAGCGGACGCTGGTTTATGTACCTTCTGATTCCTGGGGGCAGAATCGGCCAAGTGGTCGGTGCATCATGATTCAACAGTGCAGAGCCGCACTCAAAACAAACACCACCGCCGGGCACCTGACCTGGATACCTCAGATACCTTATTAATAAGGACTCTTGATTGGCTCAACGGATTCGAATCCCCCAGGTACACATATCAAGTGGTCATGCACGGGTCTTCGCGATTGCCCCAAGATTGAATTAGGACTCGACGTACTGTGTCCCTGCCCTGGACCTGCACCTTTTTGGAACAGGCCATCGATCTGATTGGATCTCAACGTATTTCCAAAGGAAAGCGGGTAGACGCCTGTTTCGTTTGACACGAGGTTGCCCCCAAAACAGCGTCCTAGCATCACACACATTGAAGAAAGTTGAGTACGTTTTTACCTTAGGCTCTTAGGTCATACTCTCTACCTACCTATTATCACTAAGGAGCTACGTATGTACGTAGAGGTAAATATCTACATGTAGGCTTCAAACCCGTGGACGTTGGATGTTTCAAAATACCCTGACCAAGTAGCTTGGTGCAGATGTCAATGTAGAAGCCAGTTACCCCTATCCCAGGATATCTTCATCTAATCACCATGCTCTCACACCACCGATTTATTAGACCTTAACCACACTCAAGCTAGCTGAAAAATGGAGATTTTCTTCCGTTTTAAGCTGAGTACAGAACACAATGGTTGAGCCATACCAAATTAGTAGAAATTGCTGATGGTATGCCTTACCTCAAGAGGCAGCTATGTATTGAAGTTCTAGTATTGATTACCCTAGATCTGGCTGGCTAATGCTCATTTTGTGGATGTAAATGAATAGATACATGTATGCTCTCCAGGGCACCAAATATCTCGTGTAACCCGGGTACCTGCATTATCTAAAGGGGCTTTCAGGAGCAATCGCTCAGTTCAGCAAACGCACTTGCTGCTTCCACTTGCAACCAGCAGGCAATTCACCTCACTGATAAGTCAACTTGAGGCCATCTCATCTATGTAACATCCGAGTTGGTGTAGTGGCTAACATCCAAGATTCTCATTCTTGGGCCCGGGGTTCGATTCCCCGACTCGGAATTATTTTTGGTCCCCGTTTTGCCCTTGTCTTTTTCATTACTGGGCATATGGATAACATCTACTAGAAAGGGTGAATGAAGTATTTCTCTGTATTATCCGAAATACTGCTCACTTGTAGATATGCGAGAAAATGATTTCAAGACTGAATCTAGCTTAGGCGCAAGACTCAGCGGTATCTAGCAGGTACTATCTAGTACTAGACTTGATAGCGTTCGGTTGAGTAAGATGCTTGTTGTCTCTTCCATCTAGTCTGAAACTCTAACTCAAGTGCCTTATAGAAGACGAAGAGTGACCACCAATCCTTGCATTGTTGCCCTCGTCTACTTTAAATACTCTCAATGAATCCAGGTACCCCCTTATCGTGTATTAATCACCGGACGCTTTCTCACCCCCCCTGATTAATTGCGTCGGCAACAGCTTGCAAGTTATAATCACGGGGATCGAACTATCTTAGGTAGATACACTATACAAGGATCCACGGGTAGCGCCCACGCCGGAAGCTGGATAAGATTTTAGGGGAGGCATCAATACAGATACCCGTAGTAATCACAGTTTTGGGCGTTTATAGGAAAGACCTATCGTCATTCATTCTGATCACTTCATCATAAGAGCTATCTACGGCTTGCTGTAGCTTGTTTTCACCGCGAGTTTTATACCATGTTACCAGAGGATAGATCTCCACATATTTGAGCTCAACTATTCCAAAGCCCCTTCGAATATATCGTTGCAGGTGCGGTATAATGCTGAGGAGGGCTGAGCTGCCCTCCTAGCCGGCCTATGACTAGCTTGACAGCCCGGGATTGCTTCCGGTTGCGCGTCGTTAGACAGGAAAATATGGTCGCCACAGTAGTTTAGGACGTAATCAAAGGAGTATCCAGGAAGCTTCTACGGAAACCCTGCATGGAAAGAAGGGGACATCCCTTGTAACACTCCTAGGAACGCATTTGAACCGTCGTTGGGAAATGAGAGTACGCGGTTGCTATACACAGAAACCAACCTATCGTGCCAAGTAGGGTCAGGTCATTGAGTCAAGCGGAGCTCATATCGCGTGGGTTGCTGATTGAACCAGGTAAGGAGTCTGCGATGTCTTTTAGACCATGAGATTGCTGGCGATAAGGAATTGGCAAACGGTGCAGTTCGACTTCTTTACCATTTGTTTGTATGGGTGAACAGCTTGAGGTACCGCCGCGGTGGCGACTGGGGTAATCAGCTATATCCAAGTCCATTGGCGCACACATCAACCCCGCATACGACCAATGGCTGTGTGGCCAACGATTGGAGGCGTCTCGGCGGCCAGGGACTGCAGGACCTACAGGGGTGCGGATAAGTCAGTAGACGCGGCCGATCCGTGTTGAGGATGGAAGTGTCCTGTAAGCTTTAGAGATAAACTAGTATCTAGGTAGATATTCGCCGCCTGTAAGTTAGGTAGGCAACATCTTGTCCTTTCTATTTTAGACGTTGGGAACTGACATTGGTAACGAAAAAGTTCAAACGCAACCTAGAATTGACGGAGTCGCCCGAGTCCCTGCATCTCAGCCCTACAGAATCCAGTGCCGTGAGCCTGCCAGGTCTCGGGTATGCGTGATCAAAGTAACAGAATCGCTAGGGATTGGTTGATCAGCTATTATTGCTATTTTAGGCTAACGAATGCGCCTTAGTCTGATTCTCATGAGCGGACATAAGCTCGGCTCCGGATTTCTCCTTGCGGCTTTCCCACGTGGGCGGGAGATAGGGGATGAGATATGTATAATGTGCATTAGGTGTCTCTGCCAAGGAGAAGGGGAGAGCTGGGATGAGACTTGATATAAAGAGAGGATGCTGGGATGGTAGTTCCGTACCCCGGGACTTTCGCCATAATAAGTACCTAGGCTGACCTTATAAGCCTTATCGCGTCAAGTTTGGTGACCGATTTTTATTCTGGTCTGACCTGCATTAGTGTCTGTACCCGGAATGCTGTAGAACATGGTGCCACTGTCAGCTGAAAATAAGGCACTTGACAAACATCGATCTGTCAAGCGCGGCTCTGAATATTATCTTCTATGCAATCTAAAATCGACTGTTATATTACGAATATGCCTAGTCCTGGGTAGTACCATCAGCGGGCATCTTCTGTTTGATTGTCATCTATGCATGATCCGTCTTGTGTTACAGAACACTTCCAAGTCGTACATCTATGGACCTTGGAAGGTACCTCCTACGGCAGCATTGCTTCTTCAATGTGCAGTTCGAGAGGGGGTCCTGTCTGAGGGTACTCGGTCTCACCTTTACCCGCAGAACCTACTACTCTACTACGACGGCCTTGCAGTGGAATTACGCCACAGGGATACGAAAATACCTGAATATATGCTCATATCAGCGGATCATGTACGATACCTACGGAGTAACTGAAGAGTTCGAAGCATCAATCCGCCTTACCTTAGCAACGTCGGCAAAGGAATCGCCGTGTGTGGCGCCGTTCCTGCGCCGTCCTCTCGCGCGCTATTAGTAAA